TGTTCTGTACAGAAATCTGCATACTCGAAATCCGGCAACCCGGATTGGCTAAAACGCACAGCCACCGGATTGGCTGAGTGCGCGGCACTGATTGGTCGCTCGGAATCGACCGCGATTGGCTGAGCCGATCGCGGGCGATTCAAAACGACCCGATTGGCCGCAGCACTCAGCAGAAAGCCTTTTTAAGCCGCACTTCTTCCCCACTTGCCCCACTTGTGTTTTGACCCCAATAAACGAGCTGAACCAAGTCACTGACTCGCGTCATTTGTTCGTATGAGATATACGACAGTTATCATATAAATTAATTTAAAATTTTGAACATCTCGTATAAAGTGAAGGAATAATAGTTTAGTCAAATAAACGATTAACGATAATAATGTATACATATATATTAGATTGATAATATGAGAATTTATACAAACAGTTGTAAGTGAGGACGATGGAAAGAATGCACAAAGAATTTGTAACCAACCGACACACTGCATGTATGTAACTGGAAGATGGTTTTGTTTTATGTTTTGGTTGTGTGTGTTTGTCTAAAAATTTAAAAAAAATTATATATAAAAACATTTTTTTAGCAAGGGGTTCTCTGCCTGGTGGCTGGGTGGGCGTGCCCATGGTGGGCGTGGCCTAGTTGGCCTCCTGCACCCCGGTGGGGTTTTTTGCCTTCCCCGGGATCCAGAGGCTCTCTGGAAGCCAGAAACGGGCCCATTTCCAGCCTTCCTAAACTCCCAGAAGGCCCGTTTTTTGTCCTCCCCAAGCCTCCGGCGGGCCCTGGACTTACCTGCGTCCAAAATGGGCCTTGTGGGGACTCCTGGGAGGGGCGGGGTGGGCGGGGCCAGCCAGGAGTGGGATTTGGGGATTCCTCCGAACTGCACAGAATCTTAGCTCGGGCTCTTTTGAACCCCTGCGAACCCCCAGCAGCCCATCCCTGGGTTGACTTCTTCTTGGTTGCAGCCCCTGCAGTATTGGAAGACTGCTATCATGTCTCCCTTGGTCTTTCTTTTCATTAAACTAGACAACCCAAATTCCTGCAACCATTCTTCATATGTTTTAGCCTACAGACCTCCTAAGCATCTTAATTGCTCTTCTCTCTGCACTCTTTCCAGAGTCTCAACATCTTTTTTTAATATCTAAGTTTCCTTTAATTTGCAATTTAGGGGAAAATAATCTAATTAATTCTGGCCATTTAGTTTTTTTTTTTTAAGTCAGTCAATATAGCTTACAATTCTTTCTTTGCCTGAGTCACCACGGAACTTGAAACTGAAACTGAATTTGGCATTTAGGAGAAATCTCTGTTTTCTAGGAAAAAGAAGGAATCTGACTGCCAGAACTTTACGGGGAAATCCAAGTAAGGCCATCTGTGGATTCTGGCTGTTATTTCTTGTAAGAACCCAGCAATTCAAGGGAATTCAATTCACTTGGTAATTGCACCACAGGAAGTTCTCAACTTACAACTACTCATTCAGTGACTGTTCCAAGCTACAGTGGCACTGAAAAAAGGAACGCAATTGCTTTTCAGACCATTGTGATTCTCCATGCTCACGTGATCAAAATTTGTATGCTTGGCTAATGGTCCGTATTTATGACGTTTGCATTGTCCCAGGGTCACCCGATCTCCTTTTTGCAAACTTCTGACAAGCAAAATCAAAGGGGAAGCCAGATTCACTTAACAACAGTGTTATTAAATGAACGATGGCAGTGATTCATGTGACAACTGTGTCAAGAAAGGTCATAAAATGGGGCAAAATTCACTTAACAACTGTTTTACTTAGCAAATTTGAGCTCCACTGTGGTTGTAAGTCAAGGACTACCTCTATTGCATTTCCTTGTGAGAGTCTTGTAATTTTTTTTAATGTCTTTTAATGACCCCATAACCCCTTGCATTGGGGTGGAGTTTGGGTAACTGAATGGAGCTGAGTGTTTACTGGCTGGATGCCCTTCCTATTGCCAATGCAGAGTTCACAGCTACTATTAACTCAATGTGCCTAGAGAGAGAAATACCTGCTGCTACCTAGGATCGAATTCACAATGTTCTATATTAGCATGCTCCAAATACTCCTATCTGATTGGTCCACTAATCCTGCAAGATGATTGGGTAACTAAACTGCTGTGATTGGCTCGTTATGAATCAACCGCGATTGGCCGGACCGATCGCGGGAGATTCAAAGAGCTGTCATTGGCTGGTGAGCCGCGAGCAATCCCTATATGAAGGGCTGCCGCGGCTCCAAGATCTTGCACAGATCTATACACTAAATAAAGAGCTGAAATGTCAAACTGGTCTCGAGTCTCCTTTCCCGCGATCTAACACACAGCCTCCTGGATGTGAGGTGAGAGCTCCACCTCTAGGCCACAGCACCACTCTTGTGAGATTCTCATCATGCCCCTTCTGATATTCCTTTTCCATCAATCTTTTCATTGGGAAGGATCATTTGATTTGATTAAGTGGCTGGCTCCAACCTCAAATCATCTGATGACCATTCGTGTTCTAGATTTTGTCATTCAAGCAGGTTCGATAGAGGAATTCCAGCCACAAAATTAATTCTTGGAATATGTTAGGGTGCAGCTTTCCTCACTGTCCAGGAATTGTGAGTTCTTTTCATTGATAACAAATGAGTTGGATGTCTGTAGAGAATCACAGTCATTCAGGTCATGATTGTACCAAAGGTGCTTTTTCAGCGAAACGTCTTCAAAAGAAAAACCAAGAAAGTCTAGTTGCCTCCTTAGAAAAGCACCTTTGGGACAACCATGGCCTGGATGGCTGAGAATCTCTACAGACTTTTAGCTATACAATTCGGGATGAACGGCCTTTGAATGGGGTGGGAGTAGGAAGGGAATGGAATGGAAAAACATTTGCAGACTACAGGACCCATTAGCACTACTCAGGTGACCCTGGGATGCACCTCCAAGTGGCCTCAATGACCCTTTGAAAGGCTGCAAATCTTATTTATTTATTTATTTATTTATTTGATTTGATTTGATTTGTCAATCGCTTACAAAATAATAGGTATAAGTATATACATAGTTATGAATACATGAAATGGGTACATATAAGAAAAATAAAAGAAACAATAGGACAGGGACAGTAGGCACGTTGGTGCGCTTATGCAGGCCCCCTACAGACCTCTCAGGAAAGGGGTGAAGTCAATAGTAGACAGTCTAAGGTTAA